GGCTGGTGAGGCCCTAGCAGGGCATTTTCCCCTCAGCTCCGACCAACTCACTGCCCTGCTCCTGAGGCAAAACACAAGGGCTGGAGCCGCCACCACGGTGATATGGAGCTTAGACTGAAATTAAGACCATTCGCGGGTAAAGGCTGGTGGCCCGGTGGGGTACCAGCCATGTGGCCAGCAGTCAAGGTCTGGAAGATGCATGGGACTGTGGCCAAGAGCGCTAGCTGGGAAGGGGCATTAGGAACTAGGAAGGCTCATCCACTACTTCTGACAGTGATGTCTGTCTTTATGCCACGACGGCAAGATCACATAGAGACTTCTAGACCCCGGGCGGCACCTTCAAAGTGGGGCGGGATCAAGCCAGCAGCCTCTGGGCCAGGAAAGGCAGCTGGCACCCAGACCCGAGCTGGCGGGGCGCCACGAGAGATGGAGAACTGCTCCAGGCTTCCTCCTGGGCGTGCGCAGAAGCACACTGAGATTTGTGGACTGAGAGATCCCCGGATCGGGCCAAGCCAGCTGAGATGATCCAGGATCTCTACACGATTCAAAGCCAAAGGCCAGGAACCAGGACTGGCCTGGTGGGTTCAGAATCCCTGGGAGACGCTGGTTTGCAGCCACGCTGCAATCCCTTCTTGGCCGCTGGTGGTTTTATTCATCCCTTCCCTTTCTTTGCTGCAGTTGCAAAGACAGGCCACGTGCCTGCTTGGCGGGGAGACTCCGGGGGAAGCCATCAGGTCACAGGGGTGCCTACACACATGCTCACCAGGGGTGGCACTCTCTGAGCTCGAGGGCTTGAGCACAGCCTGATGGGAGCTCTCGATGAGGACCCTGGGGCTGTCTCACATATGTTCACTGGGGGCCACACTCCTGGCAGTTGCATGTGCCCATCTCCCAGTGGGGCACTCTGTGATGGCCGCATGCTTTGACTGCAGTGACCATACTGTGTGCTGGCGGTGGTGTCTGTGGAGTGCCAGGAGTCCCAGCCGCCACAGCAAGGGACCACGCTCACCGCCACAGGAGGGTATGAGGGCTCCCCCAGGGACCAGACTCTGGGCCTCATGCTTACAAAGTAGGTGCTTTATTTGTGGGGGGAGGAGGAGGTGGGAGATGGCGGACAGCAAGGAGGTGGTACATGAACCCAGTCCTCTGCACTCCTTCTGGCTTTTCTTTCAAACACTGAGTTTGGCTTTGGGGCCACGGAAAAGTGGGGTGATGTTAAGATGCTGGGGGTTGTACAGCAGGCACGGATGTGGCTGGGGTTATTGTGTGTTAAGTGTGAGGAGAAGGACAAGGTTTTTCTTGTCTGGTTTTGGCAAAGGAGGAGGTTGATGGCGTGTGAATGTAGACAGGGGCTGACAAGCTCCACGTGGCCTCTGTCCATTCCCTGCCCGCCGCCCACACCCATGTGAACCTGAGGCCTGACCACACTCCCTGTAGAGTTCCATCATGGAGCTGGGGAGCCTGGCCGTGCTGGGGGAACCCCAGACCGGCTGATGAGCAGACCCCTGGAGGCTCCTGAGACTGGAGAAGTTCCCTTGCCCAGGGTGAGGAACTAGACAATCCCCTGAGATCCTTTCCAGACAGCAGACCCTGGGCAACGCTCACACCCGGGGTTCCCTGCAGACACACACATCAGCTTGTGGGATCTGCACGGCTGGTCCCTCCCCAGCAGTGTGTCTCTCTGCTCTTCCACAGGTCTGACAGGCTCACATTTTCACTGGCCGGCTTTACAATCCACCCAACGTATAAACATGTGCATTCAGGGCTGTTTATGTGACCAGTGGGGCTTCCAGCTCAAGGCAGAACTAATGGTTACGTTTGGGGTAAATCCGAGTTAAATGTGGATGCTACTCGTTGGTTTTCTGTTTTGTTTTACTTGGGGGCCACACCCAGAAGCGGTCAGTGGCTATTTCAGGCTCTGTGCTCAGGGGTGCTTCCTGACTGGGCTGAGATTCCAACCCGAGCCTGGGCAGCAGCCCTCTCTGCACAAGGACTTTTGACTGCACTGCAGTTCAGTGCTCCTACGAAAGGCACAGCTCCCATGACTGTTCAGATGCAATTTAAACACCATGGGACAAGACCTGGCAAAGGTGAGCACCAGAGACCAGGGCCAGGTCCCCTGGCGTGGGAGGAGATGGGAGCAAACTCCAAGTCCTTCTTCGACACTCACCTCCCACTTTCCTTCGTAAATGACTTCTGCCCACTGCTGATAACTAACCAACAGAGAAAAGAGCCCTTGTTTGTCCCAAAGCTCCCCGGCAAAATTCCTCTGTTTCATTACTTGAAGTGCCAAAATAATTTTCAAAGGCCGCCAAAGGTTCAAGGGGGTCCAGTTCCCCTTGGCCTTCTCATGTCCCAGAGCCAGCCTTCCTTTTCCACGGAGAGACCACGCCAGCATCCCAGACCTCCAGCAGTTTCTTCCAATTTACTGACCTCGAAGTGTGCGAACCAAACACCGCTAGCTCAGACGGCCTCCTTTCCCTCTGCACATTTCCTGTCGCAATAAAGCATGTAGCGCCTGCCACACTATTTCTACAGATAAATAATAGTCCAATGAAAGAATGAGGGAAACGGCAGCATATCACTACTGCCACGCTGAGCCAGTCTTTCTCCCTGCATGGAGCTCCGCGTTGAAATCCCGAAGCTTCCCTGGGCCCATCCACCCAGGAGCAGGCTTCCCCCTAGCGCCCAGAGGGTCCCTGGGGGGGTGACCAAAAGGACGGGCCTTTGGATGCCTTTCAGAGAGAGCTTTGAGCCTCAGAGCCTGAGATTCCCAGAACATCTTCCCTGCCGCCCACCCTCCTCACGCTTAGTATGTAAGAACTCAGGAATTCACTAACTGCGGATCTTTGCCCTGTCTGTTCTTTTTAAAGGGAGGCTTTTAAAACCGATCGCTGCTGTGAACTCCTAAGGAAACAGTCACCGGCTTCCAATTAAAATGCGAAGTGCTGGAAATAATGTGCGAAATGTTAAAAATGAAGGCTTTCGGCCTCGCGGACGTGCGAGCAGCTCCGCAGGAACCGGACACGGGGATGGCATTGAGCTGGCCGCCTGGCCAGCCTGGCCTCCCAGCTGCGTCTCCTGAGAACAACTGGACGCTGCTAGACACCTCCAGAGAGCTCGTCCCCCAAAAAACAGAAATCCTTCATCAAGGAGGTGCCACCCCCTCGAAAAGCCTCCAGTGCTAGTTGGAAGAATGAGAAACCACAGGATCCCCCCCCCCCCAGAAAAAAATTAAAAATCACTTGTCTGAGTTCCTCAAAGAGATCCAGGGAAGGACAGACAGGTAGATGAAGCCCAAAGGGGGGAAAAACAACAGATACAAGAAGGATCATTGGCAGGTTGGGGCGGGGGGGGGGGGGGGGGGGATAACCCCCAGAGTGGTGGATACACTTTCTCTTTCTCACAATTAACACCTGCGAGCCACCCCTGAACAGGACTCAGCCTGCCCCCTGCCCCCCAATGAAAGGGAGCCTGGTTCCCCCCCTCCGCAGCCTCTCCAAGCCCTCGCCTGCAGCTCTCCCTTTGACCCCTCGGGGTGCTGCATGCAGGAAGATGAGCAGTCCCCGTTTTTCTGAAATAAACCGAGAATCGCTCCCTTTTTGTGCAGTACCAGGCAGGAGGCAAAGTTCGGGCTAGCTGGGAGGCTGCCAGTCCTAATGGTTCCCACACGGATCATTTGCCAAGAGGAAAGCCCGATCCCGCAGCAGCAGCAGCAGCCGTGCGCCCCCACACACTCCTCGGGGCCCTGCAGTTCCCACAGCCAGCCGCACTCTGCAGCCCGACATCTGGGCCAGCAGGCTCTGTGGGGGTGACCACCAAGCCCCTGGCGAGCTCCTAACCTCCCTGCACTCCCCCCAAAAGCGAGGAAGGAGGACAGGCGCCTTCCAAGGCGGGGGAGACAGGCGGCCGGGGGGTGTGAGGGGTCGCGGAAAACCACGCAAGGATGAATTCCTGCCATCCATCCACGGCCACGGGCAAGTTCGGAGTCGGCAGCCCCGCACCCGTCCGACGGGGACCCCAGATGCCGGCGAGGCTGCAACGGATCTGGGGGTGCGGGGCCCCCACTTGGCACGCCGGCGCCGGGGAGCCCGGGTGGCAGGTCCCCTTAGAGGGCGCCCTTGGGCGACGCGCGCCTTCGGGAGGGGCAGCCAAGTGCCCGGGGCGGCGGCCAGGGAGGGCGGCGGGGCGCCGGCTGCCGGGCTCGGGGACCCCCCGAGGACCCCCGGTCGCTCGGCCCCGGGCCCGGCGCGGGGCGGGCAGGGCTGGCCAGCCGGGTCCCGGGAGGAGGCCGCGCGCGGGGGCACCCGCACGGCCCGGCGCGCCCCGGGGGCCGCGTCCTCCACCTCCGCGGGGCCCCGCGCGCCCCAGAGCCGCCCGCAACCCTCGGGGCGCCCCGCGCGGCCGCCGAGCGCCCGGATCCCCGCGTTGCCCGGCCGGGGCGCTCCGCGGGGACGGGTGCCAGCCCCTCGCCCCGGCCCCGGGGAACGGCAGACAAAAGAACTTTGGCAAACTTTGCTCGCCGGTGCCTGAAATCTGGGCCCCGGCCCTGCAGAACTCGCGTCGGACCGAGGAGGACGGGCCGCTGGCGGGCTCGGAGGGGAGCACCGCGGGAGCGAGCCGCGGGGGAGAGCGCGGCGCGCGGGGGGGCCAAGGGGACCCCGAGTTTCCAGGTCGCCCGCGCGTCCCGGGGGGCGCGGAGCCCCGCTCCCTCGGGGGCCTCTCCGCGGGGCTCTGCGTCCCGGCCGCCCCAGCCTGCGGGGCTGCCCGGGGCACGTCGCCCGACCCCCTCCGAGGGCCCAGAAGTTGGGCGCGACTCCGGGGGCCGCCGCGGCGCCCCCAGCCTCGGTGCCGCCGCCCGAGCGGGGACCCCCGGTCACTCCGGCGCGCCGAGGGGGAAGGGCAGCGGGCGAGCGGCGGCGGGGCGAGCGCGCCCGGCCCCGCAGGTCCTGGGGGAGCGGGGGGCGGGATCCCCGGGGGCGCGTGTCCCCCCGACTCACCGCCTGGGCCGACACGCAGGCCACCCAGCCCAGGGTCAGCAGGATCCACGCGCGCCGCATCTTCCCGGGCACCGGCCGCTCGGGGCCGCCGCTGGCACAGGACCGCGAGGGACGCCGACGCCGACGCTGCGAGCGCGCCCGGGGGGCTCGGGGGGCGCGGGGGTCGCGGGGGGCCGTGCGCCCCGGGCCCGCGGCGCCCGCTCACTTGTTGGTGCCGCGCTCGCCGGCCACTCGCGCCGCGCCAGCCCCGCCGCCGTGCGGACTCCGGGGGCGGCAGCAGCGGGGGCCGAGGGGGCGCGCGGAGCGGTGGGCGCGCGGCGGCGGCGGCGGCGGCGGCGGCTCGCGACTCTCTGGACAGCGGCGCGGCCCGCGGGGCTCCCGCCGCCCCGGCCCCGCCCCCCGCGCGCGCCCGCCGCCCGCCCGCCCCCCGCCGCGCGCGCCCGCCCGCCCGCCCGCCGCCGCCGCGCGCGCCCCTCGGCGTCCGGGGGCGAGCGAGCGGGCGGCGCGGCTCCCGGGACGGATTCCTGCGGGATGACGCCCCGATCGGCGGCCGCGCCCGCCGCTGCGCGCCCCGCGCTCGCCCCGGCCGCCCGCGCCGCCGCTGCGCCCGGGGACCCGCGACCCGGCGACCCGCACCCCGGGACCCCGCGCCCGGAGACCCGCTCTCCTGCAGCCCGAGACCCCGCACCTAGCGCCCCCGCGCCCCTGGACCGCTCCCCCGAGGCCCGGGACCCTGCACCCCGAGACCCCCCACCCCGTCCCTGAACCCCGCACCCTGGGACCCCCGCTCCCCTTGCCCCGAGACCCTGCGCCCCGGGACCCCGCGCCCGGAGACCCGCTCTCCTGCAGCCCGAGACCCCGCACCTAGCGCCCCCGCGCCCCTGGACCACTCCCCCGAGGCCCGGGACCCTGCACCCCGAGACCCCCCACCCCGTCCCTGAACCCCGCACCCTGGGACCCCGCTCCCCTTGCCCCGAGATCCTGCGCCCCGGGACCCGCTACCTTGCCCCCAAGACCCCGCAGCTTGGGACCCCGCGCCCCGGGACACGCTGCCCTACGACCCGGGACTCCGCGCCCCGAGACCCCCACTCCGTCCCTGAACCCCGCACCCTGGGACCCCGCTCCCCTTGCCCCGAGATCCTGCGCCCCGGGACCCGCTACCCTGCCCCCAAGACCCCGCACCTCGGGACCCAGCGACCCGGGACCCCGCGCCCGGAGACCCGCTCTCCTGCAGCCCGAGACCCCGCACCTAGCGCCCCCGCGCCCCTGGACCGCTCCCCCTCGCCCCCGGACCCCGCACCCCGAGACCCCCCACCCCGTCCCTGAACCTCGCACCCTGGGACCCCGCTCCCCTTGCCCCGAGATCCTGCGCCCCGGGACCCGCTACCCTGCCCCCAAGACCCCGCACCTCGGGACCCCGCGCCCCGGGACACGCTGCCCTACGACCCGGCACCCCGCGTCCCGAGACCCCCACCCCGTCCCTGAACCCCGCACCCTGGGACCCCGCTCCCCTTGCCCCGAGATCCTGCGCCCCGGGACCCGCTACCCTGCCCCCAAGACCCCGCACCTCGGGACCCCGCGCCCCGGGACACGCTGCCCTACGACCCGGGAACCCGCGCCCCCGGACCCGGCTCTCCGGCGCCCCGAGGCTACGCGCTCTTGGCCCGGCCTCTCCGCCTCCTCCGGGCGGCTCCTCTGGGTTCTAAGCGCCCCCACTGCCCAGGCGCAGACACCCCGGACACGGTAACTCCGGAGCCCTGGAAAGAACCAGCAGGGAGAGCTGTGCGCCCGCGCGCTCACACACACACACACACACACACACACACTGTAGACAAACCACCCCACACACCCCACGCAGACACATCTGTCCTCTGCTCACCACGTACACACTTCCCACACACCCCCCACACACACACACACAATCCTACCACACATCACATACACACCCCACTCAGACACCCCCCACATCCCACGCACTGCACACACACCAGTCACACACCCCCCAAATGCACAGCACACACTTATATACGCACCCCACACCACATACACATACACACCGCTCGCACCCAGCACATGTCCACATATCACACACATCATAGGCGCCCCCAAACCTTTCCGACGTCACTCACATACCTCATGCACATATATTCACATACATACCAGCACATCACAAATACACACTGATACACAAAGCCACGCCATACACACACACCACTCATATACATACCACATGCATACTGCATACACATCACTCACATACACACCCACCCCACACCACACGTATACACCCATACACACCCTATGTACATCTGCAGATATCACACACATCACACACACCATTTACATGTGCGCATCACGTGCACACCCCCTCACAGACATACACAGCACACACACATACACATGCTGCAAACATACACACAACCTACAAATATATGCACATGTCACAGAAATGCACACAGTTTACCGCTGCCTTCCCTGTAAAAAGACTGACAGTTACTGAGTGTTTTCCAAGAAAATACAAAATAGTTTATAAATGTGTGCTAAGAGCTTTTTCCACACACCGCCCCCCAAAAAATCAAGTGAAGGAAAACCCCACTACACCCCAGTGCAGTATTGTGGGTGGAAACAAAAAAATAATCTATGAAACACCTTCTTGTTGCTATTATTTGAGAAAGTAATTTTCTGTTGTCATACCTGTGAAAATATTGGCTAACCCAAGATCACAAAACATACTCCTACATTTTCTTCTCCGAGTATTTAGTCTTGGTTCTTGAATTTAGCTGTATCATCAACTTTAATCTGTGCGTGTGATGAGGGAGGATTTGTTCTCTTTCATATTGTACAAATCCTGCTTTCCACTTGTTACAAATACTTTGTTTTTAATCTCCTGTTGAATGGTATTGGCATTCTTGTCAAAATTCATCCCAGTGATCTACTTCATGTAGCACATGCTACATCCTCTATGTGTTAGCAAAGTTTTGATAACTGTATGAAAAAGCTTTGAAATTGGGAGATGTGAGTCTTCCAATTTTCTTCCTGTAACATTGTTTTAATGCACTTGTAGACGGTACCAAAAGACCCAACCCCAATTTTTTCTAATTCTAAGACTTTTGGCAGAGTCTCCTGCCCCCGCGCCTGGCTGTCCTCACCAGGGCCCCTTGGAGGGAGCGGGTTGAGTTTCCCTCCCCGCCCCAACCAGGGCTCCGGCAGCCGAAGACCTCCAGAACCAGCCACCACCATGCTGAGACCACTCTCCACACGCATGAAGGTACCGGCAGAGGAACAAAGGCACGCGGGTCCCGGACGCACGACATCTTATTATCTCATTCCTACTTTGGACAACCTGGCAGGCTACCGAATGTAGCCTGCCCACACGGCAGAGTCTGGCAAACTCCCCGTGGCGTACCCAATATGCCAAATACCAGTAACAATGAAGGGTCTCATTCTCCTAACTCTGAAAGAGCCTTGAATATGGCACTTTTTAAAAAAATCTCAGGGCTAGGACGAAGGAGACGTTACTGGGGCCTGCTCGAGGCAATCAACGAATAACAGGATGGACGTGATCGTGATCGTGAACATTGTTTTAGCCATTCTGACTGTCTTACATTTTTATATAAATTTCAAAATAATCTTGGCAAATATATAGAGAATTCTGAGATTGAGAGACAGGAACATATCCCAAAATTAGAGTGAAAAAGCACCAGGCAATCTCAAATAATAGGGCTCTGCTGTGCCGATGAGCGTGGCAGGGCCCGCTGGTGCCATCCCGTTCAAGCGGAGCGGACAGTCCGACCCCAACCTGATGGCCAGCACGTTCTGCCCAGCAGCTGCTCTGACCCACGGGGAGCTCGCAAGATGCCACTTTGCTGTTCCCGGGTGCTTTTCACTGTCGCGTCCTGGCATGTTCCCCAGACACAGGCTCGAAATCCATTTATGTGTTTAACCCCGACTAAACTCACTTCAACGAGAAGAGAAGCTGAGAATCAACAGGAAGGCGACCAGGCCGCCATCGTCACCCAGGCTAAGAAGCACGAGGGAGTTGAGGCCACGACAAAAACCAGCCAGCAACCTCCCAGCTCCATTTTTAGCCGCCAACTTTCCATGGCTTTGTCCGTTCACCTCTGTCAACCCTTGGCCGGGAAGCTTGGCCCATGTGCATTTCATCATCGGCTTCGGCGCTAATACAACCCAAATTGTTACCGTTTGGGGCACATGACACAAGCAGCAGAGTGCAGGAACAGATTAATACACAAAGTCTCCCCTGCATAAGGCAGGCGGCAAAGGAACTTGGTTTCCTGAATATGAGCACTTGTGTTACCCTGGAAATGCTGGCAAAACCCATTGTGCATTCATTCAACAAGCGTGTCCTGGCCACAAGCCAGGGGACTCGGGTGAGCCCAGGAATCTTCTAGAAAGGTGTTAGCATTAAATGCCCTTTTAAATAAAGAATTATCTTCAAATCACCATTCTGTAACTAGGGTTCGGGTCAAATTTCATCCGAAGATCAGATATAAAAATGGAAAGGAACCAACAAGCGTAGAATTACGTTTTTCTTGGGCATCAAATAACATTTTCCTAATAGGTGAACATGGATATATGAACTTAGAAAGGTATTACATGGTGATCTCCAGGTAATTCGCATTGCATTGAATACATCCTGCTACACAGGAAATTTTCAACTTGGCTGGTTGTAGATAAAATCATAACATTCTTGTCACTAACTCAAGAAAAATTTAGGTTCCTGATAGACTTCTATTCATTTTCCGATCTTCCTTCCTACCTGCCTTTCTTTTTCTTTTTCTTTCTCACTCCTCCCCACCCACCCCCACCCCCGCCTGTTTGGAGATCCAAATCCACTTTATTCCTTTGGGATCTGTGAGATATATTTGGGGCCCTCAGGGAAAATGCATCAATTATTTTCTTGGTTAGCTCTTTATTAGTGATCCCAAAGAAAGTAATAGAAATGAAGCAGAGTTTTGACTCTCTTGCGTAGCTTCACTTGGTTAGAATGGAAATCCTTGCCGTTTGGTGCTGAATGAGGCACCGATGGAGAACAATCTTAATGGAGGCACTACTAAAAATAATTCAGTACTATGACAGTCATCACTTGCAGTGTGTTGCCGGAAATTGCCTGAGTATCTATCTTCTAAGGGATCTGGAAGACAGAGAAAGTGGTTGTCCAGCTGTGCAACTGTTACCTAAATTCTCTTCGTGGTGAAATGAGTGGAGGGAGACCCCGCAGCTGCCCTCACCTGCTGACAGGGGGCGCTGTGCAGAAGAGCTTAAGCATCGGGACAGACGGACTAGAACTTTTCACTCTGCCCACATTTCACTCTGCT